CATTGCGGTAATATTGCGGGAGGTACTAAAAGGACTAGATTATCTTCACAGCGAACGTAAGCTTCATCGTGATATAAAAGGTGAATATATTTTTCGTCTGAGATAAGTATAGTAAATTCGTGCACTATCCCCATCGCCCGTTATATTTATTATCTATTCGCGAAAAAGACTTTCTCAGTATTTTCATAGTATTAAGAGAATAGAAAAAGAAGATAAGAGGAGTAGAAAGAGAGAGAGAGAAAGACGGAACGGTGAAGAGAGAAAGAAAAATCGTTCTTTTACTTCTTCTTCTTCTTTTTCTTCTTCTTCTTCTTCTTCTTCTTCTTCTTCTTCTTCTTCTTCTTCTTCTTCTTCTTCTTCTTCTTCTTCTTCTTCTTCTTCTTCTTCTTTTGAAATATCTACGTATCAATATATATATATACAAAGTTTAATCCGAATTTTAGCGGCGAACGTTTTGCTGAGCGAAATGGGCGACGTCAAATTGGCGGATTTTGGTGTTGCTGGCCAACTTACTAATACTACGAGCAAACGTAACACCTTCGTTGGTACTCCTTTTTGGATGGCACCAGAAGTTATCAAGCAATCTGCTTATGATTCTAAAGTAAGTTAATCGTGATTATATACATATATCACTATATCTATTTATATATATATATATATATATATATATTATTCTTTTTTTTTTTTTTTTTCTTTTTTTTCTTCAACATTCAATGACGAACTCATTGAATTTCTTTGCGATCGTGTTCTATCGATCTATAGCACAAAACTATAGCGCTGCTTAAAAACTCGTCCCGTTATTTCCACGAAAGATAGCGAATTACCGTCGCTTTGTCGTTAACGCTTCGTTAACACCTCGAAGAGGCAACATCGGACAAGAGTAGTAAAGAGAAGCTTTTCTTTCTTCCTCGCAGGCTGACATTTGGTCCCTCGGCATTACGGCGATCGAACTGGCGAAAGGAGAGCCTCCTAACAGCGAGCTACATCCCATGAGGGTCCTTTTCCTCATACCTAAGAACAATCCACCACAGTTAACTGGGAATTACACGAAACAGTTCAAAGAGTTCGTCGAGGCGTGCTTAAATAAGGATCCCGAGAACGTAAGTTCGTCTTCTTCATTGTGTCCTATAAGGTCTGTCTCGTCTGTGCGTGCACGTTTTCGTTCAACATAAAAAAAAAAAAAACCCTTTCACTTGGTTAAACTTGAAAATTAATTTTAAAAGTTTGCGAGTAAATTTGAGTAAAATTTATGAGATAAAATCTTTACGATGTTTATATATATTAAAAAGAAAAAAAAAGAAGGAAAAGAAGCGATTTTCAAAATTTCCGCCAAGAAGACGAGGACTCTCATTATTCTCTTTTTTTTTGTTTTTTTTTTTTTTGTTTTTTTTTTTTAGCAAAAAATGTCTACATTTGATGAAAATATGAAAAAAAAAAAAAAAAAAAAAAAGTATTCTCAATTTTTTTAACCGCGAAAATTTTCTTGAAACTCGATACACATTTTTTCTTTTTCTTTTTTCCTTTTTAACTATAAAATGTTATCACTACTTTCGTTTGAAGGTACTTTTAAAGAGTAAACTGAAAAATGAGAAAAGAATAAAAGGGAAAGAAAGATTTGATCGTAAATAAAAAAAAAAAAAAAAAAAAAAAAAAGAAAAAAAAAATAAATAAATACAAAAGAAAAAAGAAAAAAAAAAAATAATAATAATAAAGAGAAAAAAGAGTAGATTCTTGAGGGTTAAAGGATCATCGTTCGAAATGAAATTAAAGCGAACGTATATCGAACGAAAAGAAAAATGGGACGAAGATTGAATTTTTCTCTTGAAATCGGTCTACTCGAAACAAACGTAATTTCATTTACGAGCAACGAACTTATAATACTACGATTTTGTCCTTTTAACAATTTTCCTCAAAGATGTTTATCCTTTTTCTTTCCCATCCCTTTCTACTCCCCTCCCCCTCCTTTCCTCCCCTTATGTTATAACATTGTCATAATTTTTCATTAATATTTTATGACATACCATGAAGCCATTAATATTCGATTCGTTAATACGTGTTATAATAATTACGTTGATTATCATTGAATCTATCGAAGAAATCTATGATGGGTATCTTCGTTAATAATTCGTTATCTATGAGCTTTCATTTGATCATTGTATCCTTACCTTATATAGAGGCCAACGGCGAAGGAGCTTTTAAAGTTCCAATTCATAAGGAAGGCAAAGAAGAACTCGTACTTGATCGACCTGATCGACAGGTACAAGAAGTGGAAGTCACAACGAAGCGAGGAGTCCGAGACAGAGAGCGAAAATTCAGACTCGTGAGTAACAACGATTGTTACATATAAACGTGTCGCGTATGAAGTACGAGAGATATTAAGATCGTAATCGCAAATTGATCTAATAAGATCTGTTTAAATTGGGATTTTTTTTTTTTTTTTTTTTTTTTTTTTATGTATTCGTAAAAATAAATCTTTTCGTGATTGATTTTTCTTTTCTTTTCTTTCTTTCTTTCTTTCTTTTTTTTTTCTATCTAACGTTCATTTCAAATTAATTAATTGTTACGTATATATAGATCTATCGAACGAATTTAAAATCTTTCATTTTGTTCTATTGTAGGGAGGAATCAAAGCAAGATAGCGACATGGACGAGCCATGGATAATGACGGTGAAGGGTCCACACGGAGTTAAAGGATCCGTAGTACCTATGTTGCCACTGGACGAGCAACCTACCTCGTTGACCGTGACTCACACATTGAATCATAGGTCCTCGAACCATAATCAACAAACGAAACCGCATGCGAATGGAGCCTCGCGATCGCCACCTAAGGAATCAACGTTGAATCATTACAGAAGTGATTCCAGAGATTCCCTACGTGACGGACAAAGCAAACACACAACACCGGTAAGAGAATATGCAATTGGTTGCTGTATTATGATCGCGGTTGGATCGTCTCAGAGAGAAAAAAGAAAGGAAACGAAATAAATTAAAAAAAAAAAAAAAAATATATATATATATATATATATATATATATATATGTATATCCTTTCTGTATCTCTTTGAGCTTTCAATTTTTTTTTTCATTGTCACCAAAGTTTCATTCGTTTTTTTAACAAATTGTCATATAAATCAGAGCTACGTGCAAATAACGAAAGAAACTCTTACAAATATTTTTATAATAATATAATATAATATGATAAATATTATATATTATATTTATTATATATTATATCTTATTAATATCAATATTATTATTATTTTCAGTTGAGACCTCACGAAGCTGCACCACCACCACCGATCGACACGCGAGAGAAAAGAGACGAGCGAGATTTTCGCGATTCCAGCAGAGAATCAACTCTGAGGGAGCCAAAGGAATTACGTGATAGCAGGGATAGGGATGGTAGAGACAGGGAACGGGATAGGGAAGGTAGAGAAAGGGGGGATGCTGTTACGAGAGATAAAAGAAATAGTAAACCGGACGTACCAGTGGTACCAATGGTCGACCATAGATCTACCGAGGACAAGCAACAGCGGCCAAGGAGTTCACAAGAACTTAAACACCCACGAAGCGCTGCCCTATCGGCCGTCGTCTTGCCCCTTCTATCAGAGGTAAATTCTTTTTCTTGTTTTTTTTTTCTTTCTTTTTTTTTTATTTTCTTCTTTCTTCCCTCTCTCTCTCTCTCTCTCTCTCTTTCTCTTCTCTTTTTCTCTAGTAAAAAAAAGATTTACTATATAAATAACTATATAATCAAAATGAAGCAGCAAATAACATTTTTTCTCTTTCTGTTTTCCTTTCTTTCTTCATCCCCACCTACCCCCCCTCCCCTTCTCTCTTTCTCTCTTTTCTCTCTATCTCTCTCTATCTTTCTTTCTTCGCAAATGATCAAGCTCCAACGAAAGCACCAGTATTCCGCGCGAGACAATAACGGCGAAGGTGGAAGTGGCGTTGGAAAAAATGGTGGCGCGATAGAAGAACTACGTGGTGCCTTTGAAATGGCTGAACGTACGTCTCCAGGAATGACCGAAGCTCTTATCAGGGAACTTCTTAAATCATTGCTTCCGGCCAATCACTCGGAGGGTCGTCTATCCATGCTAATGGAGAAAGTTATATTGAGGTAATTTTCGATAAAAATTTTCGATTAAAGAAAAGAATTAAAAAATAAATAAAAGAAAAATTATCTCTTATTATCATCGAACAATCGTCTATCTCTTTTTGATTATATTCAATAATTTTTTTTATCGTTATTATTATTATTATTATTATTATTTTTTTTTTATTATTATTGCTACCACCATCACAACTACTACTACTACTACTACTGTTATTATTATTTATTATTATTATTTGTTTTGTTTTTTAGGGATACGTAGGGACGCGAGAGGTCAAAGGTTCGCAAGAGATTGTGGTCCGAAAATGTCCTGACATTATAATCGTTCGTTACTTCTCTATTATCAAGCTTATTTATCACTCCGAGCCAGCTCATCGTTAAAACGCCATTTCCGAACTTGAAGAAAAGCTATAGCAGAAACGAGGATCGTCGTGATTAATATACGAGTATGCGTTTACATCTTTTTAAATAACTTTAATGGCCGAATTACAACGAAATCTATCGAACCTTTATCTAAACGAATTAATCTAAAGAAGAAAAAAAATCCAAACAAAAAAAAAAAAAAGAAAAAAACAAAAAAGAAAAAGAAAAGAAGATAAAAAAGTGGGAAAGAAAAAAGGAAAAAAAAGAAAGGAAGAGAAAAGAATTACCACGAGATTTTTCATCTATTTTCAACGTTAACACTTTTCAACATTTCTAATCTAATGGGTCCCTTTTATATGTAAATATATATATATATATATATATATATATATATATATATATATATGTATATATATATATAAAAGGAAATACCATGTTGCCTAGAATTCTTCGAAATAGTTCCTATTCGTGTAATTACGAATTCTCGTTTGCTGAGAGAAAAGGGGGGGGAAAAAAAAAGAAAGAAAGAAAGAGAACGAGAAAAACATTTCGTTTAGGAATTTTTTTTTTAAATGCATAATGTATGTGAACCTTTTAGATAAATTATTTTTTATGTTAGATAAAATGTTTACGAGTGTGGTTGCTATTCTCATGAAAAACTGCTAACAACCGAGTCCCTCGTGTCCAATAAAATAATAAAATCTGCCGTTTTACTTTCCTAAGTGTATTACATATTGCATATTTTAAAACGCAAAACGTTTATTACGACGATCGATGAAATCCCGAGATCCCTGTGCGAAATAAGACGTTTAAGTAGAGATATATAAAATACGTATCTTAAATAATATATATCTTTTTACGACTTTCTTCATGTTCGGCTCAAATAAAAATTTACATACGACGATAGCACAGCGTGAATAATATTAAAGAACTATAATGCAGGCTCGGTCAATGTCCAATGGATAGAAATCGATGAGAAATTCGTTGATCGCGGATCTTGCCTCTGTAATAATAACGCATTCGAAACGTGCACAAGCAAGGTTTAAGATATTACAAAAGGGCGGGATGGGGTGGGGGGTAATAAAAAGAAGAAAGAAAAGAGAAAGAAAATAAAAAGGAGTGAAGAAAAAAAAAATAAACAAGCAAACAAACAAAGAAAATATAAGCTACTTTTGCGTGTATGAGTAGAAAAAAAAAGTATTCTTCGCAATGCGTTATCAAATACTTTTTTTTTCTTTTTTTTTTTGTTCTTTTTTTTTTTTTGTTTTCGTTGAACTTTTCAAAAAGCAAAAGAACAATGCTACGCTTCTCGGATAAAAATGGATCATCCGTACTACGTTTTTTTTTTTTTCTCGCGTCCGGATTAAATTATTTAATTCGGAATAGTTCATATAATATCGAAGATAACGATATTTCTTCGATATCAGGCCAATCGATTCATCAACGGATAAATGAAAAATGTTCATCCGGTTATTATAAATTCGCCTTCCTATCGCTTACTCTGCTAGTGCATGTTTCGGATTCTTTCTTAAGGCAGAGAGATTATAAAAGATTAACTCTGGTAACTTCTCTACTAGAGAACCATTGTAAATATGTATGTAGTACAATAAGATAGTCTTCTTGTTCTTGATCGACCTTTTTGCGTATTGACTCGCTCGGTGGCTCCTTTCTTCGATGATATTCCTCTGATGTCTATTGAAAGGAAAAAAGAAAAAAAAGGAAAAAGAAAAAAAAAAAAAAAAGAAAAAAAGAGTAAAAGAAAGAAATAAGAAACAAAAAAAAAAATATACAAATCGTTTTACAAATGTTTCGAATATCTTAGCTTTCTGTCATTTGTTCCTTCGAATAGTTTATAGAAGAAGAAGAAGAAGAAGAAGAAAAAGGAAGTAATAATAAAAAATAAATAAATAAATAAATAAAAGTAAAAAAAATTCTTCTCTTAAAACGCGATATAATAATATCTTGGACTGTGGGAATGTCTCGATTCAATTTTGAGCGGCGAGACGAGAAGATATCTGCAAAATGTCGATTCTTAATCCACGTTGTTTGTAAACACTAATGTATTTTATAAAAATATATAATATAGAAAAAATTCCTCGTAAGAGAATGGATTGAGAGAGAGAGAGAGAGAGAGGGTGATGAAGAGAAATACAGAAAAAAAATATCTACAGAAATAAAGAACGAGAGCGAAAGAGAGCGAGACAGGGGGGAGAGGGAGAAGGAGAGAGAGAGAGAGAGAGAGAATAGGAATAAAAGCAAAAAATTAGAAGATTAAAAGATATGAAAAGATTAAATGCAACGACGTAAAAGCTCTCTTTCGCTTTAGTCAAAAATGCAATATCGCGAAATTGTACCGCACGAAGAGAGATCGAAGGAAGGTGTGAGAGGAGATTGATAGAGTGAGAGAGAAAGATTGCGAAAGAAAAAGAAAAAAAAAAAGAAAAGAAAAGAGAGATATCGAAGGGAAAATTAAAATGATATAACATACGTAAATAAATCTAATATACGAATAAATAATTTAACGAAATAAAAATAACAGATATAGCGTTTAATCAGTAGAGAAAAAAAGAGAGAGAGAGAGAGTGAGAGAGGAGAAAGAGAAAGAAAGGGAGAAAAAGAAGCAGAATTGAAAGCCAAACGGGTGCATCTATCTGTCTCATCAATTTCCAAAGTACCGGGTGTTTGTCGTTAAATTGATATTTAACAGCGCCAACAGGGTGTTTAAAAAACTTGAGAGCAAAACATAGAAAAAAGAAAAAAAAAACAATTCTTAAGATGATTATTATTATCATTATTATTATTATTATTATTATTATTATTATTATTATTATTATTATTATTAATATTATTATTATTATTATTATTATTATTATTATTATTATTATTATTATTAATATTATTATTATTATTAATATTATTATTATTAATATTATTATTATTATTATTATTATTATTATTATTATTATTATTATTATTATTATTATTAACGTTTTCAGATATAAATGACAACAGAACAAGATATAAATGA